AGAAAAGAAAAATAGTTTTCTTTGTCTGACAAAAATAAGATTCGGCAAGAATTTGGGTCTTTTGTTTTAAAAACAAAACTTGCTAGCACAAGTAAAATCCAATCTTGGAGAAGGTCTTATTCAATCACTATGTGGATTACTGTTAAAGGCCAAACACTTAGGTAACTGAAGATTTGACAAATCCCGAAGGTGAAGAAATAAAGATTTTTGGATTTAATCGGCTCTTGATTACAATATCTAGAGCAAGGTATGTAACTCTTAAACCTACGAGTGTTTATAATTTATTTGAAAGTTACATGAAAAACACAAACATTGCTCTTATAGGATTCGACTGTTTCTCTAATTAAATATTATTTTATTTTTTCGCTACGTCATATTTTAATTTATTGATTACTTTTCATGTTTTAGCATGAGGTCGAATCCCAGAACACTCATGGTGGTTCTATAAGTTCAACCGAGGCATCTTACTCTCCCATGGCCTTTGAGGTAACTCTCATCTTAGGTGGCATCCTGTACCAAGATGAAACAAAACTATGTTCATAATCATAACTCCAAATTCCAAAGGGTAAGCTTACTAAAACTTTAAAAGTTCATGCAGCCTCCTGTTCATAATTAGTGCTGTATTCACCAACCAAGAGCAAGACTCTACATTAATCCTTGACACTCCTTTGGTAGACACAATTTCACCTAGAACTCTCTAACCTTGGTGCTCTAATAAGAACTTTATCATGACCCAAATCCGAGGGTTCATGGCAAGTGCACAAGCCGAGCAAGCAAGCCCACTAGACTCGAGCAAGCCTCATAATACAATATATTACAACATAAGTCAAGGGATTCAATCATTAAATATTCATAATAAATTCAAATAAAATACAATATCCTTGGCTCAAATTCCATACAATTAGTAATAAGGGCATAAGTTGACCATCCAAACGGGTGCATACATACTAACCCTTAATACACAAGATAACGTGGCACTTAGTGCCTGCACACATTATCCATAGAGAAAGACTTCAACTAACTTAGTGGATTGACCAAAATAGAGAAGCTATTAGATGCCAAAATCGGTGTGTCACTTGACGACCTTTACCACAGAGCTCTGTAGCCTATTTATCATGGTATACAAATGGGTGAGTCTATAACATTTAATGAGTGGTGCAGATAAACAAAATCATATAAGTTTATGTAAAATACATATATAAAATATATGAACCTTTCATGCATTTAAATTTTCTAGAAAAGATCTCAAAATATAGGGCATATCATTATCTTTAAATCTCCAATATAAGGGCATATCATCATCCTTAATGTCTCCACAGATCTTCACATATATCGTCAGGCCTACCCTTGAAGCCAACCAAAGTTATTCAAATCATTCTCCATTGTACAATCTAGTTGTCGGAGTGTCACATCATAATCATATCACATTTATCTAAGCCTTTCCATGGCTGCGTCATGTCATATGCTAATCAAATCAATGAGTGGTCCTCCCCTAAAAGTAGTTAGATCACACCTGGTGGCCAACCAGCGGAGCATCAAATCATGCTTAGGGCAAAGCCATTGGTAGAGAAACAGATCATGCACGTGTCGAAGCAACAGGCAAAGAATAAATCATGCAGGGCTCCAAAGCAACTGGTAGAGAAACAAATCACGCTCAGCGTCGAAGCAATTGACGGAGAATAGATTATCAATCAAAGAAATCTCCTAATGTCAGCATCACTCGAAGTAATCTCAACAGATGGCATTAAAGCACTGTAAGTGAGAATCACAAGCGAGATTAGTGCCACCATTCCTACTTACCACCATCCTTGCAGGCACACATATAGTCACAAGGGGACAAAACTCCACTCAACCATAAATCATATCAGCGTTTGAAATTTTTCCCATGGACGAAAACACAAAGACACAAATAAGGTCATCATACCTTTACCATTCACAATTTCCTTATCGAACCTCAATTCACATTTATTGAGCTTCAATTGTCTTATGCTCGGTTAGGTTCTAAGTGCCTCTAAGTCTCCAAGACATCATTCAATCAAATCATCTCAACATATCACTCACCTAAGGTAACCTACTCTTAAGGGTTCATCATAGCCTCTAGACATTCTAGTCTGGGCATGTACATAACATCGACCACCCATGTGGCTCAAATCGCATCACATAAACACACAATTCATATTTTTGGTTCTCTAGCCTAGGCATCTACATCTAGGCAATCACATAATATATACATATACATACATACACACATTATAATACCATGACAACACCTTCACAAGGCGTCATGGATCACATGTATTTTAATTCAAAACCCACTCACAGTGACAATAAGAGGCACTCTCATTCACAATTCGATCCTTAGCCTCCAATCATCCTTTAGTTTGTCAATGAGTTAATTTAACTCCGTTTCCCCCTTCAAACACATTAAAGCAATTAAAGTAGTAATCATTCTTAGCTTTCAAAAAAAAATGCCAACTTTCACATAATTAATTAAATCTTAGCAATCCAACTATTTAA